TTCCTTACATTTACTGAGCTACTTTTGGAAATCAATAGAAACAGAGAGCATAAGAGCCAGAATTCTAGGCTTGGCATGACCAATGAGTAGGTGAGTGATCTTGGGTGTGTCACTTTGTATGCCCAACTGTACAATAGGTACTTTTATGTATTCTATTTTACATGGATGCTAAGAAGGCAAGAGTAAAAATGTATCAAGAGATATATATAAGATATCACTATCATGAGAAAAAAGAAAAAAGAACACACATATCAGGGAAATAAACTCCACTGTGCTTACTGTGCCTCAGTGCAGCAAGTACTAGGTTAAAGACAAAGGCATATGAAACAGAGGCTTCTTTTAACTGTCCCCATATAGAATGACAGAAGTGAAAGGAACCCCAAAGTATCTTTTCCTGAAAACAATAGATATAAATGATACTCAACTACTCCAGAAAAAAGGCTCAGTACTCCAGGGGCTCAGTACTTTTTGGGTCAAAGAACTACTACGCTCATTTTTTTTTTTTTTGGGCCACACCACGAGGCATGTGGGATCTTAGTTGCCCGACCAGGGATAGAACCCATGCCCCTTGCGTTGGAAGCGTGGAGTCCCAACCCACTGGACCTCCAGGGAAGTCCCTGTGCTCCTCATTTAAAAGGTCTTCTATTCAAACAAGATTGGGAGTTACTCAGGTTTTTTTTTTTGTGGGGGTGGGGTGGGGATGGAAGTAGTTAAGAATCTGTAAGTAGGATTGTTAAAATAAGCATGATATAAGATAGTACAAATAGTCTCTGTTTTTAATAGGAATCAAGGCCTGGAAACTTTATGGTAAATTAAACTAATAAAAGCAAATCCTTTTCCCCTAAAGCAAAGTGGTTAAAATTTTCACTGCTACATTAGTCAGTGAAGGCTTTATGGAGGAAGTGGGCCTTCAAGAATGGGCAAGTTTTAAGTAGAAAAAACGGAGACCACAGGCATCCAGATAAGGGGAATAGGAATGAATGAAAGGCACAGAAGCAGGAATTCAACACTGATTTAGGTCTACCACAGTCAGGCATGGGGTTAGGTTCCAAGAATACTAAGATCTGTGAAGTACAGTTCTTTGCCTTAAATCAGCCCTGAGCCTAGCCAGAGGGACAAACTGCCAAGGAAGGCATAGTAAATAATATCAATATCAAAGTACATATGATGTACTGTCAGAACACAAGTGAGGAACAATTTTGTCTGCTTGATTTAGAGAAAATAATAAGAGAAGATAAGATATTTGAGCTGAATCTTGAAGGATGAGTAGGGCTTTGCCCTGTAAGATAAGGGGACAGGGAGGGAATTCCTGGCAAAGCAAACAACATGAACAAAGACATGAAAGTGCAAGAGAGTTTAGGATACAGACCTATATCTGGCATGGCAAGTAGGATGCACAGGTACTAGGGAATTAGAACTGAGTTAAAAAGGTAAGATGAGGTAATATCAGGAAGAATGGTGACAAGGAGCCACCAGAAGACTTTAAATCACAAAATGGCACAGGTCTGTATTTTGACAAAAAAAAAAAGGGAATCTCCTGGAGGTCCAGTGGTTAGGACCCCATGCTTTCACTGCAGGGGGCACAGGTTTGATCCCGCAAGCCACGTGGTGTGGCCAAAAAAAAAAAGCTGGTGGCAGTAGAGACCAGCGACAGAAAAACCAACTAGGAGGCTACAGCAAGCATTTAAATGAGTGTCAAGGACCTAGAAGAGGTGAGTAATGAGGGGTCAGATTCCATGGGCATTTGTAGGAGGAGGTGGAGTGGATAGAATTTTTAACTAATTTGGTATGTGGGTAAGGAAGAAAAAGTAATAAGAGTGTTTCTGAGTTAAAAAGGTAACTTATGGATGTTGATACCATTAAAGAAGGCTCAAAACAGGAGAAGCAGGGCTGTGGGTAGATAATAATAAAACTATTTCCGTGAACGACCATTAATATCTAGCCAGTTGCTCAAGCTGGACACCTGGGAATCATACTAGTCTACTCACTTACTACCCCAGGTAGTCCAGTCATCAAGTCCTTCTTTTATATTTCTCAAATTCAGCTCCCCTTTATGGTTTCTAGACTCACTGCTATCATAATCTACCATAATCGAAGTACCCATTTCTCTCTGGGGTTGAGAGCCTCTTAAGTGGTCTCCCTGTCTCTAGCCAGGAGCCCCCATCCAATCTATCTTTTACACTGCTACGAGAATGCTCATTCCAAAACAAAAATCTGAACATTTTAATTCAGCTTCTGACCCAAACCCCTCAAAGCCCATCTTCCCCTAGTACCTTGAGGATAAAGTTCATATGTTTTGGTTTAATAGAAAAAGCCACTGAAAATACCAATCCTGCCTACCTTTCCTACAACTCTCACACATGCACCCTTTGCTCCAGCCAGGTAGTACCTTTAACATGCCATGTTGTTTCAGCCTCCATGCCTTTGCACTTGCTATTTGCTCTGATACGCCCCTTCCTTCCCTCACATAGTTGATTCCTCGTTCAAAGCCTCCAGGGAGTTTTTCCTGACACCCTAATTCATAAGGCTAACTTGTATATTTGTGTAGTATCTTCTATAGAGTATTACCATCCAATACTATAATTGCAGATATATCTATTTCACTAGTTAGCAAGGTCCCTGAGGCCAGAAAATAAGTCTCATTTGACTTTGCAGAATCTAGCAGTGTCTGGCACAAGTAACAGGCACTCAGAAAACATTTGTTGAGGGAGTTTAGTTTCAGACCTATTAATTGACGTGCTTAAAGAACGTGTAGGTGGAGAGAGCCTATATATATTATTATGTGAAAAGGGCAGCATGCACAATAAGATTTCACTGTTGTTTAAAAAACATAAAGCTATTGAAAGGAAACAAGAATTATGGAGCTAAAGCCAGTTCAGGATTGGAGGTAGCGAGTGAATATGTCAACTGAGAATAGCCAAAGGACAAAATCCAGAAAAACAGCAACATTTTAGGGGGTGGAAGAGGAAGAGACAGCAGGGATATAGGAAGAGAACAAGGAGGAACAGAACCATGGAAAGCTGAGAGGAGTATGTTTAGAGTAGGGAAAAATTAGTGTCAAATACTATAGAGCCAATGAAATCCCAGGAAAATACTGTTGAGCAGATGGACATTTTAGGTTCTCTTTGTTTACATCACCCTTGCCTTGCTGAATACACAAGAAGCACAGGGACAGCTTAGAATATTTTGCATTCTGCTTCTTAGGTTAAAACTAGTTATATTTAACCTTCCAGCTCTGAAACCAAATGAAAATCATTAAGATATTTTAAACTACCTGACACTGGGATAAAACATTTATTAAACCAAGAAGATGGAAAAATGAAAATATTTCAATATCTTTTTTCTTTCCTTAATTATCTTTAATTCAGGTGTCTGTTACTATTATTATTTTTAAAATATCTAACATGGATTTGAGGGGAGGGAATTTTTTTATTTAAGTTTACATTAGTATAGTAGCTTGAGTAATATTAGTTACTGTCTGACCATCTTTAAACATCACAATTTTTCATTTACCAATTCTAATAGAAAAAAACTCTCAGTTCTAATGCATCTCAATTTTAAACGCTTTCATGTACCTGTAATATCTGATAAACAAAAAGGTACTTTATGGTAAAAAAATCATAGTATGTAACAATAGTAACCATAAAATAATAAACATACCCCTGTATCTGTATCAGATTTTGATGAATTTAGACTTTCCTGAGAAGGTGATGGGGACACACGTCCTAAAACAACATAATAATTGTAAAAAGGCACGTATATATACAAGTGTACACACACACACACACACACACACACACCCCAATCAGAAATAATAATACAGTAACACCTAATTAAAAGTCATAGAATACATCATTCTGGAAAAATACATTTTTCTAAACAAGCGAAGCGTTAACTCTTAGGCACCAAAATATTTGTTTTTATCATTTTTATATAAAATATTTATAAAATGGCTTAACCATTTCCCCAATTAAAAAAAATACTGTTAAGTCCTCATTATTCATCGTGAAGACATTCTTGCCAATCGTAACAGTTAGGAAGATGAATACAGGGGCAGGAAGGGTCTGGGCTGGGCTAAGTCTCAATGGCCACTGAAAATAGTCTTTCTGCTCCAGGCAGGGCAATAAATGTATAATAAACATAGTTTTACTTTTTGTCAACTCATCATCATCTTGAATTATGTATTATAACATATTGCAAACAACCCCATGGGGCTACTAAAGTATATGGGCCTCGCTGGCCAGTTTAGTGGCTCTCCCTAGATTTCTATGTTCCTCAAACTGCTGCTTCAACTACAGTCTATACTCCTGCCCATACTACCTCTATTCTCCTTTCTCCCATCCCTTAACTTCTGTGTTCAGCCTTGGATGATTGGGTGGTGAGGGGTTTGTGGAGAAAATGTACTGCAGTTAAATAATGACAATAATTACAAGAAAAGAATCCCATAAACTTAGAGCTCCTATTTACATCAATTTTACACACTTTGCTGATAACACGATACAGAAATATTTTACATAGTTGTAATCGTTGCATATACACATCATGTTCTGGGGTTTCTCTTTTCCATTTAACCTAGTTTCATATACCCTTTGATGTACTGACAAATCACATTTACTTTCCATGGCTATGTTTCCTTAATCATTCTTTACTTACTGGATGTAAACATTATTCTCATTCTTTTTCTAGATTAATCAGATATTTCATTTTAACCTAAGATAGAACTGAAAGTTACCAGGGGAAACCAAATGACTTTGTTCTCGGTAGTTGATGAATTTAACTCTGCAGTACACCTAAAAAGAGATAAAGTCAAAAACTTTGTGGTAGTTTTTTTCACTGGGTTTAGATGCTTTTTGCTGTTGACTTCTGTTTTAAGTTTGTGGCTTTTATGTAAAGTAGTGCTTGCTGCAAATGATTGCCAGATAAGAGGGTATCATTATACCTAAAATGTAAAAATGCCAGATGTCTCCAGATTTTTTAAAACCCACCAATAAATGAAAAATACCTTCAGTATTGTATTTCATCCGCATATTGTTGAAATAGTCGAAAGCATTTTTTAAAGCCCATATTCTTACTACATTGTCTTGTCCAGCTGAGGCAAGTAATCTGCCACAGTGAGAAAATTTCATGGTCCAAACAGCTCCCTGTGAAAACAAAGGAAGGTTCAAAGTTATTACTTTAGAAGTTGAGACATTGTTTTTAAGCCAAAGAAAAAAATTATGCCGAATTACACATACAGTAAATCCCCTACATATGAACAAGTTCCATTCCGAGAGTGCGTTTGTAAAACGTCAGCCTAGGTACCCAACTAACACAATCAACCATACAGTACTGTACTGTAATAGGTTTATATTACTTTTCACACAAATAATACATAAACAACAAACACAAAAAATAAAGAAAACATTTAAAATCTTACAGTACAGTACACCTTGAAAAGCATAGTACAGTACCAGCTACAACACCGCTGCTTTTACGCCTGTTTCCGGACATCATGGGCTTGAAATAAGGATACTGTACTACTGTACTCTATAGAGTACTGTACAGTAAAGTACACAAAGACACAACCACTTGTAGAGGATGCACACACATGACAATGTACGCCAGACACATGAACTAACTTACGTGACTAGACATGTGAACGCACGTTCGCATCTTTGAAAGTTCACAACAAGGGTCGTATGTAGGGGACTTACTATACACTAAGATAATGCTCACATAACTAACACCACTTAAGGCCAATAGTCCAATGATGCTATAATACCACAAAAAGGGACTTTTAGAAGAGAGGGAAAAGACAGTTGCAGTTTGCATAATATAAACTAACAACTTCAGGCTTCCCTGGTGGCACAATGGTTAGGTATCCGCCTGCCAGTGCAAGGGACATGGGTTCGAGTCCTGGTCCGGAAGGACCCCGCATGCCATGGAGCAGCTAAGCCCGTGCGCCACAACTACTGAGACTGCGCTCTAGAGCTGATGAGCCACAACTACTGAAGCCTGTGCGCCTAGAGCCCGGGCACCGCAACAGGAGAAGCCACTGCAATGAGAAGCCTGTGCACTCAATGAAGAGTAGTCCCCACTCGATGCAACTGGAGAGGGCACATGTGCAGCAGCGAAGGCCGAACGCAGCCAAAAATAAAACAAACAAAAAAATAAATTTATAAAAAAATAAAAATAAACTAACTACTTCAAGACCCAAAACCTTGTCCACATATTAATGGAAATGGGAGATCTGAGGTGGCCAGAAACCTTCATTGCAAAAGAACAAGTCCTAGTCTGGGATCTCAATCTCCTAGCTGAACATGAGGGTGAGTGGGATAGGAGGGGGCACAGACCTCAGAATAGCAATAACAACTCCTGACCAGGGCTGAGGGAAGAATAAGGCCCAGCTTAGCAGTGACCCTCACAGCACTGGTCATTTAGAAGTGTTGGAATGGTGTGGTCTCATTCTATTTTTCTCCCCAGAAAAAAGGTTTTGCAGCATATGGCTAAAATTCCCAGAGAGACAGTACTAAGAACGGTGCGGAAGTGTGTGTGTGTGTGTGTGTGTGTGTGTGTGGCGGGGGGGGCAGGCATGGTAAAGAATGTGAACACTTAAATTGGAAAGGCCAACTCCTATTACAATAAATACTGTTATAACCACTGTTATAACACACATCTATGCAGGTCAAAAAGATCATCCAAGTTAAAGGTAACAGTTTATTTACTGGAATAACATTCATTTCCACAAAATTCAAGTATGTTAAGAAATTTGTCATTTGGAGCCTACTTCAATGAGATTTACTTAAAACTGGAAATAATGAAATAGAACCAATACAGTACAAGGAAATTCATCAGATTCCTTAAGGAAGTTACTATAATCAATTGAAACGTTTTTTTTTTTTTTGCGGTACATGGGCCTCTCACTGCTGTGGCCTCTCCCATTGCGGAGCACAGGCTCTGGACGCGCAGGCTCAGCGACCATGGCTCACGGGCCCAGCCGCTCCGCAGCATGTGGGATCTTCCTGGACCGGGGCACGAACCCGCATCCCCTGCATCGGCAGGTGGACTCTCAACCACTGCGCCACCAGGGAAGCCCTCAATTGAAACTTTTTAAAAAATTTATTTTATTGAAGTATAGTTGATTTACAATGTTGTGTTAATTTCTGCTGTACAGCACAGTGATTCAGTTATACATATACATTCTTTTTCATATTCTTTCCCATTATAGTTTATCACAGGATATTGAATATAGTTCCCTGTGCTATACAACTCAAACATTTTATGTGTAGATTATAAGCACCAAAGTAAATTCAAATCTGGCTGCCAACTGATATGTGTAAGCCAACTTTTAGATTTAAAATCTAAATAGATAAGTAGATTCCCCGATCAAAGACCAACAGTATCACTTACCCAGTTCTGAGTTTATTACTGCCTTCCCTGCATTCCTAGCATTTTCAGGGGATAACTGTAATGTATTTGTGAACTTTTTATCTACTTTGGTACATTTTAACTCTGATAGACAACTTGTACCTCTACCTCTCTCCTTGTTCTGTCACTTTACAAAATATATTGAGCTTCTGAAATATTTGTATAAATTATTTAAAATATACCAGGGAGCATTTTAAACATTGTTCAAAGTGACAGATCACCCTTAACTGCTTTAAAGTTTGGTACCTTTCTCTGGTAAAAGAAAGTTTGCATAGCTTTCTTTTTTTTTTTTTTTTTTTTTTTTTTTTTTTCTTGCGTTATGCGGGCCTCTCACTGTTGTGGCCTCTCCCATTTGCGGAGCACAGGCTCCGGACGCGCAGGCTCAGCGGCCATGGCTCACGGGCCCAGCTGCTCCGCGGCATGTGGGATCTTCCCGAAACGGGGCACGAACCCGCGTCTCCTGCATCGGCAGGCGGACTCTCAAGCACTGCGCCACCAGGGAAGCCCTGCATAGCTTTCTTAATAATACAGGCCTAGAGTTTACTTATTCAATAAGTCACTTCTTGAACAATGATTCAGAGACAGACTTTGCATTACCTATTCATTAAATCATATTATTATCAATTCACTTTTCATGGCTCAGGCTAGCGAAATTACATACATAAGACATCAGCTTTATAGAAACCAAAATATTTCTCTCAATGAAAACAGAATCAATCCTGAAAAATAAAAAGGTTGCTTACCATATGTTCACCACTAAGATCTTGTACCACTTTGATCTGATCAAAATCATAAGGTCCTTTGAAGCCATGTGCTGCTTTGAATTTAACTGGTCTTGTGTATGGCATTCCTTCATCATCACTTGATGAAGGATCATCTTGATCGGTATGAAACACTGAATAGAAAAGCAATAGAAACCATCACTAGCTAATATAGATATTGCTACTGTCATATTTTCATATCTACTGCTTACCAAGAAAATTCATTAATTAGAAAAGCAAAATCTGTGTATTACTAAACAGCATATTGGTTAGCAGCATGGATTCTGGTACCAGATTGCCTGGGTCCAAATCCAGCTCTGCCATTTATTATGTGTGTGACTATGGGCAAGGTATTTGACCTTTTTGTGCCTCAGTTTTCTCATCTATAAAATGAGGATAATAATGGTACTTACCTCATAGAGTTTTTAAGAGGATTAAATGAGTTAACACAGGTGAAAGTGCTTGGAACAGTGTCTGGCACAGAATAAATACTATATAAGTGTTTATTAAATAAAACAAATGAGCACAATTATAACAAAGGCATAGGAAGTTAAGGTGTGGAAATTCCGAAAATTTACCTAATTTTGAGAATATTTATAAACACTAAACAGCCTTACAAAACGAATTTACAACTGATTACCGAACACTCAACTCTTCCAGGTTGCTAGTCACAAAGTATGTACAAATTCATGTTTAAGATGCAGAAATTCATTTTTCTTCCCACTCATAAAACTGATAGTGAGAGTAATGATTTATTGAAATACTAAGATATGAGCTATTAAGGTTTATTACTTTCAATAAAATAGAATGCTTCTTACAAGCTACAGGCTAAATTTAAATGATTACAAATCAATTAAGTATTCAGTTGAAATGTTCTATTTCACTTACCTTCGTCTCTAACACTTTTAACTTTATTTACAGCACGTTCGCCGTATTCCTCAGCAAGGTGCTTTGCTCTCTTTACTGATTTTCCTAGGAACTTCTTTAGTTGAGTCCTTAACAAAAATACCAAAAAAAAGAAAAAAACCAAAAAACCCAACCCAAATTACTTCTTATTAACTCGACTAATTGTAAAAGTTCAACAATTCACAGATAATCTCATGAGCTGTGACTGGTAAAGTGTATCATTTTGAAATAACTCCTTTTTTATATACATAGTAGGTCTTTGAGTTCCCCAATCCCTTGTTCTATGGAATAAATATACTCAAATCAATATGGCTACAAAGGAAATATAGGCAGTTCCCCCCAGTGTATAATATCATATCCTCTAGAGCACTAGTTTTCAGTGGTGGATAATAATCACTTGGTGGGAACGGAGTGGGAGGGGAGTGTTTTAAAGTGCAGATACCTGGGCGTGTGGGCTTCACTAGTTGTGGCACATGGGCTCAGCAGTTGTGGCTCGCGGGCTCTAGAGCATAGGCTCAGTCGTTGTGGCGCACGGGCTTAGTTGCTCTGCGGCATGTAGGATCTTCCCAGACCAGGACTCGAACCCGTGTCCCCTGCATTGGCAGGCGGATTCTTAACCACTGTGCCACCAGGGAAGCCCTAACTTCAGTTCTTGAAATGTACCAAGCTTTTAGTCACCTCAAGGCCTTTGGATGGGTGGTTATTTCTGCCTGGAACACTTCTCCCTTGGCTAATTTCTACTCATCTTTTAGGTCTCAGAACAAATAGCTCTCTTTTAAAAAAGCCCTCCTTGACTCTTTAGAACAGATTTTCCTGTTATACACTCCCATAGCACCCCATATATTCTTTTATAGTAATTACTACAAACATAGTTAGATTTATCTGTGTAATTACATGTTTAGTGTCTGTTTCTCTTATTTAACTGGAAGCTCTATGAGGGCAGAGACTATGATTGTCTTCCTAACTATTTTATCTGCAGCACCAATCTCCCATGTCTAACTGACAGAAAGACTACAATATGCTACAACTGGTACCGATATGAAGAGATGTCCATTACATAATAGGTATTTTTTTAAAAAAGCCAATAAACTATAGACACAGTATAACTTCACTTTTGTGAGAAAAAAAATTCTATGGTGGGGACTTCCCTGGTGGCACAGTGGTTAAGAATCCACGTGCCAATGCAGGGGACAGGGGTTTGATTCCTGGTCCGGGAAGATCCCACATGCCGTGGAGCAATTAAGCCCGTGCGCCACAACTACTGAGCCTGCGCTCTAGAGCCCATGAGCCACAACTACTGAGCCCACGTGCCACAACTAGTGAAGCCCACGCGCCTAGAGCCTGTGCTCTGCAACAAGAGAAGCCACCGCAATGAGAAGCCCACGCATGGCAAAGAAGAGTAGCCCCTGCTCGCCGCAACTAGAGAAAGCCCGCACACAGCAATGAAGACCCAACACAGCCAAAAATAAATAAATTAAAAAAAATTCTATGGTGAACATACGTAAAGATTATTTCTGGGGGTGAGAGTATGAGAGGCTTTCATTTTCTTTTTTACCCATTTCTGTATTACTTTTGATAATCATAAAACACAGATGATAAACCTTTTTCTTTTGGCCACACCACGTGGCTTGTGGGATCTTAGTTCCCTAACCGGGAATCAAACCCGGGCCCTCGGCAGTGAAAGTGCAGAGTGCTAACCACTGGACTGCCAGGGAATTCCCAGGTAAACCTTTTTTTTTGAGGTATAGTTGATTTATAATATTATATTAGTTTCAGGTGTATAATGTAGTGATTCAAACTTTTTATAGATTATATATACTCCACCTATGGTCAATTAATGTATGACAAAGGAGGCAAGAATATACACTGGAGAAACGACAGTCTCTTCAATAAGTGGTGCTGGGAAAACTGGACAGCTACACGTAAAAGAATGAAATTAGAACATTTTCTAACATCAAACACAAAAATAAACTCAAAATGGATTAAAGACCTAAATGTAAGACCTGATACTACAAAACTCTTAGAGGAAAACATAGGCAGAACACTCTGACATAAATCGCAGCAAGATCTTTTTGGATCCACCTCCTGCAGTAATGAAAATAAAAACAAAAATAAACAAATGGGACCCAATTAAACTTAAAAGCTTTTGCACAGCAAAGGAAACCATAAACAAAGAAAGCCCACAGAATGGGAGAAAATATTTGCAAACGAAGTGACAGACAAGGGATTCATTTCCAAAATATACAAAACAGCTCATGCAGCTCAATATCAAAAAAACCAAACAACCCAATCAAAAAATGGGCAGAAAATCTAAATGGACATTTCTCCAAAGAAGGCATACAGATGGCCAAAGAGCACACGAAAAGATGCTCAACATCACTAATTATTAGAGAAATGCAAATCAAAACTACAATGAGGTATCACCTCACATCGGTCAGAATGGCCATCATCAGAAAGTCTACAAACAATAAATGCTGGAGAAGGTGTGGAGAGAAGGGAACCCTCCTACACTGTTGGTGGGAATGTAAATTGGTACAGTCACTATGGACAACAGTATGGAGGTTCCTTAAAAAACTAAAAGAACTACCATATGATCCAGCAATCCCACTTCTCTGGGCATATATCTGGAGAAAACCATACTTTGAAAAGATACATGCACCCCAATGTTCATACCTGCACTACTCACAATAGCCAAGACATGGAAGCAACCTAAATGTCCATCGACAGAGGAATGGATAAAGAAGATGTGGTACATATATACAATGGAATATTACTCAGTCATAAAAAAGAATGAAATACTGCCATTTGCAGCAACATGGACGGACCTAGAGGTTATCATACTAAGTGAAGTAAGTCAGACAGGGAAAGACAAATATCACATGATATCACTTACATGTGGAATCTAAAAACAAGGATACAAATGAACTTATTTACAAAAGAGAAACATACAGACTTCGAAAACAAACTTACGGTTACCAAAGGGGAAAGGTGGGGGGGGGGATAAATTAGGAGTTTGGGATTATCATATACACACTACTATATATAAAATAGAGAATCAACAAGGACCTACTGTATAGCACAGGGAACTCTACTCAATATTGAGTAATAACCTTTATGGGAAAAGAATCTGAAAAAGAATGGATATATGTATAACTGAATCACTTTGCTGTACACCTGTAAAACTAACATGCTATTGTAAATCAACTATACTCCAATATAAAATAAAAATTAAAGTTATTATAAAATAGTGGCTATATTCCCCATGCTGTACAATATGTCCTTGTAGCTTATTTATTTTACACACAGTAGTTTGTACCTCTTAATTCCTTACCCCTATCTTGCCTCCCCCACCTTCCCTCTCCCCACTGGTAACCACTAATTTGTTCTCTATATCTGTGCTACAGAGATTAAATACAGATATAGAGATTAAAAACAGATAAACCATTTTTAAAATCACAATAAGGTCTCTGCTACCTATAACTCTGAAGTTATATTTTCTGCTTAACTACAGGTTTAAAGTACTACTTTAAAGTAGTACTTAAAGTACTACTTTAAGCAAGGAAACATATTTTAATCATTTTGGATGAGAACATTTCTAAAATACATACTTTTATGCCTTCTTTAATGGCACTTAATGCTCAATAAGTTTCTTTCTTTAATAAATAGGGTCAGTTACCATCTTTACTATTCTTTAATACATTCAAGGCTTTTCAAATGGATTGCAAGTGAGCCATAATATTGGTTCCCCTCTCAGCCTTCAAGGCAACAGGGTAGGGCCCAGAGAAACCAGAACCCTGGGCCAGTCTCTTTTGGCCATCAGCTGCCTCATCAGTTTACCCCAGGGTTCAGTGCAAATAATACCATGTTCTGTATGTCACAACATAAGAAGAAGTTGAAAGCACTGCCATGTGAAATGGTTGTGCAATGTGTGAGTCCTTTTTTTATCATTTTCCTGATTCCTCTCTTGCAATCAGAGTATTATCTGACATTCTTATGTGCTGATTTACATGTCAGTTTGCTGCTTCTATTTTGCTCTGAGATCAGATACCAGATGACCAGATTTTTAGAAATTATGTAAGAAGTACGTATAAAGGCTTTGAATGAACCTGAGGAGCTTTACTTTTAAAAAATAATGAGCTTTAGTGCATGGAGCAAGTGACATCTTTCCTGGATGTCTATATGTCTCCTGAATAATTCTAATTCTCTGATTCCCGATAGTTGCCATTGCTAGAAGGCCAAGGTCCAGATAGCTGAGGTGTTATCATATACCTCCACTGTGGGCATACCTGCTCTAAAAAATCTCAATGCTTTCTTTGCTATACTTGCCACACTAGGAAAAGATCAGACTTGAGTGAAGAACTCATTTTAGGCCTTAGACTGAATTATTGCCAATTAAGTGACTTGTGTATAATCAAGCAAAACATACATGTCCACCACTGTGCTAGATTTTTATAGGGGAAAAAGAAGAATGATGTGATCAAAATCCTTTTGCAACATATGGTCTAGTTGTTTAACATGTATTTATCTTATTTTTTAAAATCAGAAAACAGTTTAAGATAATATAAAATATAAACAGCAAATGTAAGTTATGTAGACAATAGGTGTCATTGAAATTGAGAACAGGAAAAACTTTACTATGTACTGGAGTAGTAAGGAAGAATCTCACGTAGTTGGGTTTAGAAAGACAAATAGGATTTGGAGAGATGAGAAATGGAAAAAGCAACTTCAAGGACAATCATGTTCTTCTACCAACACTTCTGGCACCTACCATCAGAAAAATACAAGCATGATGCAAAATGTATCGATCATTTACTGTACGTCAGATGCTATAAAAATGACCAAGACAGCCTCAAGGAACTCATAATCCATTGCCCGAGGGCAGGGAGTGGTAGTAGTGGATGGACATATAAACTGGACAAAGTATAGATTTAAAATATGGCAGCTCTCATATATATACATATATATATACATATATATATATATACATACATATACATATATATGTATATATATATAAAATAAAAGCCTGAAATGAAGAAAAGGGATGTACTGTAACTCACGTTTTCTGTTTTAACCTTCCACCATCAGTATCTGTTTGTTGAGACTGTAACTTCTCTTCATCATCTGACTGTGCTGCGTCATTACTACAAGAAGAAGTAGTCATTTTATAAGAAGCCATTTCCCCTACACTTCTCAAAAATCTCTATGTGTACTTAGTATACAATTAGCTAATCAGTGTAAGAAAAAAATGTTAACATGCTTTATATAAGTTTAATTTAAATGATGACCCTGAGAATTTAAAGACTTAAAAGATCATAGAGTAGAATCTTTAAGCAAGGTGCAAGGTACAAAATGCAAACGAATGCAATTTAGGAATTTATGAAAAACCTAACACAAACAAGGCTTTTTGCTGGGCAAAACATGCTGCACAGAAATGACACATTAACTTATAAATATCTCCCTCCTTACTTACCAGGCACATCATGTGAAAGCTTTGCTTTCACAGAAATTATTTCTTAGTTCTACATACATCTCACAGTAAAGTCAATCACCTCACTCTAAAGACACTTTCTGACCCTAAAAAGACAATACAATTATTTATAAAATTTCTGATCCTTAAAGCAAGGTTTCAGAAGACCAGGTGTTTATCCCACATGGCTTTTTAGCTTCATGTGTTCTAATATTGTCTCTAGTATAATATTGGGTTGGCTGAAAAGTTTGTTCCGGTTTTCTGTAAGATGTCATAGCAAAACCCGAACAAACTTTTTGGCCAATCCAATATAAATCATTTTAAAAGAAGACAAACCAAATACTATGAGATTTAAGATATATATATATTTTTCCCCAAGTAATTGTACAATCTTGAGAACAAAGCTGAATAAAGAAAATGTGACACACACACACACACACACACACACACACACACACACTCAGAGAAGAATATTTATTCAGTCAAAAAAGGAAGGAAATCCAGCCATTTGTGACAACATGGATGGACCTTGGGAGCATTAAGCTAAATGAAATAGATCAGACAGAGAAAGACAAATACTTTATGATATCACTTATATGTGGAATCTTAAAAAAAAAAAGCTCATTTTAAAAAAGAGAGCAAAAAGTTTAAGAATACATACATTAACTAACTCTAATTTTAATTCTAACTTTAAAAAAAGAAGACTGAATGAAACCAAATTAGGGACTCTCATAGTTCATAAACAGAGAACTTTTCACCACTCTGAATGAAATACTACAAATGATTAATAATAACATTAGGCCATACCTTACATATTCCTTAGTCCTTCTCATGATGTGTAGAGTGAGAGGATTAATACCTGTTGGCAGTTTCTCTTCTGCAAGACTCAAAGGTATTTCTTCTCCAGTATCCAGATTCTTAATCATTACACTGGCTAAAATTTCCTGAAGTAAAAAATGACACCAAGAGTACCTATAATTTAATTATCTCTTTGAATCTACAAAATCCTCAAAAATTCAAGCTAAGAACTTTCTAGATACATTCAGTACTATGTACAATAATTTTTTTTTTTTTTTTGCGGTACGTGGGCCCCTCACTGTTGTGGCCCCTCCCGCTTGTACAATAATTTTTTAAACATTTTTAGTGAGATACAATTTCCACACCACAAAATGCACTCATTTAAAGTGTATAATTCAATGGTTCTGAGTACATTCACAGAGTTGTGCAATTATCACCATTATCTAAGTTTAGAACATTTCTACCTCCCCCCAAAAAAACCATAAACCCATTAGCTGTCATGCTGTATTCCCCTCTCCTCCCAGTCCTTGGCAACCACGAATCTACTTTTTTTCTCTATGGATTTGCCTATTCTGGACATTTCATATAAATTAAATCATATAGTATGTAGTCTTTTGTGATTGGCTTCTTTCACTTAGCATCATCCTGTCAAGGTTCATCCATATTGCAGCATGTATCTCTTTCCTTTTAATTGCCAAAAAATAGTCCACATGGATGGATATACTACATTTTATTAATCCATTCATCAGTGTTGGACATTTGTGTCGTTTCCACACTTTCGCTAGTATGAACACCTATGTATATTTTTTGTGTCGATGTATGTTTTCCTTTCTCATTGGTGTATACATAGGATTGGTATTGCTGGGTCATGGTAACTCGATGCTTAATATTTTGAGGAACTACCAAACCATTTTCCAAAGTACAATAATTTTTTTAAATGTACTGTTTAAAAGAAACAAAAGTTAAGATTTTGCTTCAAAACTTCATTCTGAATAAATTGGCCAATAGATGCATACTAAATTTTAAGGTAAGAATTAAACATTGAGTCTGTATACACTGTACATAATCCAATATGTATAAAAACATATACCTATAATATCAAGTTTTTTTTAAGCCCACTTTCTATAAAACAGGCCTTGCTTTCAATACACTTATTCCACCATATAATTATGTGAAATGGCAAGTTTAAGTCAGAGTTCAAACTCCAGCATATTAAAAAAAAAAAACTAAGACAATCTTCAATTTTCATTTTTTCCTCTACATTATGATTTTTTTGCCTAACAGCAATAAAGCAAATTTTTTAAAATCATGGTAAAATATATATAATACAAAATTTACCATTTTAACCACTTTTAATTGTATAGTTCATCAGCATCAAGTACATTTACATTGTCATGCAACCAACATCACCATTCATCTCTAGAATTTTTTCATCTTCTCATCATGACCTCTATGTTTTATGTTTTCAAGAACAAAAAAATCTAATTATACCTCATCAGTAAGCTCTCTCCCAGAGTTGGATCTAGGTCTCTGAGGGCCCATCACTTCACCTGCTATTGTCTGCCCATCAGGTGCTCTTCCATTTTCCTGAAATTATAATTTTATAAACAGAAAGTAGACTGAATCAATTTCTATAAATATTCAATTATTCATTACCACACACAGTTCTAAAGAATTCCAGAATACAGATAATGGAGCCTACTGAAAATTTAAATGGAGCACTCCATTTCAGTCTTTTATTATTCCCAGCATGCTGAAAAACATTAGGTACCAAAAGTGTTGCTGCTCATGAAATAATGTCTGAGTAGTCTTGAAAGCAAATAAATGTTCTATTTGAACCTGGGCCCAAAGCAGTTCTCTACCAGTAAAATGCCAGCATTAATATTGCCATTAATCAGAGCTATACACATGGATATCTTGCGGGTAGGGGTTGGCAAACTTTTTCTGTAGAGCCAGATAGTAAATATTTTAAGCTTTTTGCTTCATATATAGTGTCTGTTGCATATTCTTTTTTAAAAAACAACCCTTTAAAAATATAAAGACCATTTTTAGCTTGGGGACCCTACAAAATCAGGCCACTGTTGACCTCAGCTCTAAGGCTCTGAAAAGACTATAGTGTCTTTTTGTGTGTGTATGTGCTTTGAATTTTATTCCAAGTTCCATTGGCCACAGAATCCTTGATTTAAAATTTTTTTTATTTTATATTGAAGTATAGTTGATTAACAATGTTGTGTTAGTTTCAGGCGTACAGCAAAGTGATTCAGTTATACATATACATGTATCTATTCTTTTTCAAGTTCTTTTCCCTTTTAGGTTATTACAGAATATTGAGCAGAGTTTCCTGTGCTGTACAGTAGGTCCTTGTTGATTATTTTATATATAGTAGTGTGTATATGTTAATCCCAAACTCCTAATTTATCCCTCCCCCCACCTTTCCCCTTTGGTAACCATAAGTTTGTTTTCCAAGTCTGTATGTTTCTGTTTTGTAAATAAGTTCATTTGTATCATTTTTTTTTAAGATTCCGATATCATATGATATTTGTCTTTCTCTGTCTGACTTACTTCACTTAGTATGATAGTATCTCCCAGTCGGCTAACCTGCCCTAACCACAGCTACCACGTAAATAACCCCCTTGAATCCCAGAATTTGACGGTGGTAGAAATTCATGTTATCAAGTCCTTTCTATTGCCTCATATATGGATACATAGCCTAGTGTATGAAGTTTTTTTTTCATGATTAGGAAAAGGAAATTATAAAAAATAAAAGTCCCCAATTTTGACCACTATAGGTCAGATAAATGAAGATTATAGTTGGTATTTATTAATAAATATTACATATAGTAGCATCTGTCACTTTTTGAATACCTACTACATGCCAGGTACTTGGCATACTCTAGCTCATTTCAACCTTGCAAGAAACCTTCAAGGAAGGTTTTCCCCTCATTTCTTCAATGAGCCATCTCAGACTCAGATGTTAAATAGCTTGCCAGAATCAGCCAGCTACTTAAGTAGCAGAGCTAGACAAGGGATGTAAGGTAGCCAGGTTTTGGGGACAAGGAAATATTTGGCCTGGAGAAGAAAGAAGGTTCAACAATCAACAAACCAAAACCAAAAGCAAAAGCAAAACCAAAACAATCAACAAAGCAGCCAGTTGCAGAAAGTTGAGAAAGCCTGTATCAAATATAACACAAATTCACCAACCTGGGCAGTAACTATTTTATCTCCACTGGTAGCACTTGCCAAATCAAGAGAAGGCTGAGAATCTTTGACTGTACTCTCTGAAGCCATGTTTGTAGTTAGGAGAGTATCAGATGTAATATTCTCTTTGGGAACTGCAATAATAATAACAACAACAACAACAACTAATATTTATATAAGACCTTATACATAGCTTGAAAAGCACTTTAACCTTTATCTGGCTGATGCTTAGAACAATCCTCTGAGAAAAGTGGTTTTATTACTCTCATTTTATATATGGGAAAACCAGGGTTCAAATATGTTAAATTCCTCAAGGCTACACAACTTACACATGAAGAGAACTAGGACTTGAATTCAAATCTGGTCTCCAAATTCTACGCTCTTTTCACTATGCCACACTGGCTCTCCAATGGTAACAGATTTGAAAGTCTCCTGAAATGTTTAATTACAGTAATGTAACAACACCAATGTGAACATTTTGACTTTCTATTACTAAAATAAGTTTTATAACTTGGTCATCAATGTTGTTATATACAGCATAAAGTGAAAAGGAAAATCAGAAAGTTCAAGTTTCAACTCCAAGAACTCCCCGCAAAAATAGCTATTTCTCAATTAATACTTGCCATCTAGATCAGGTGCCTTAAGAGCCTCAAACTCCAATTCGATTTTCTTTTTTCTTGGTGGTGGAGCAGGTCGAGATGGAGGTGGGGGTCTAGGAGGCGGGAAATTAGTTGGAGGAGGTGGGCGTGCTGGAACAGGCTTCTTTGTACTAGCTACTATATCAGGTTCTGGAGTAAGCTGTCTTGGTGGTTTGGCAGGAGCAACTTCTTCCACAACAGCAAAATCTTTAGTAGATAAGGAGTGTGAGGACGCAGGTTCTAGAACATCACTTTCTTTGACTTCCACTGCTTCCTTGTTCAACACTTCTGTTTCAGTTTCAGGCACATTAAGCTGTTGTTCAGTTGAACTTATTTCAGTTAACTTAGTGGTTTCATCTACTGGCTTGTCACATGTGTCATCAGAAGGAAAACATTTTTTTGATTCTAATTCAGTTTCTTCAGATACATCCTGACTCTCTGCCTTTTGGGAATCTTCCTGCAGTACTTGATCTACGGCTAACAATCCAGGTATATCTGTTCCAGCCATGATAGGACTGGCAGTAGCCTGATCAGACTGTCCTTTTCCTCTGGAATCCAAAGAGTCATCTTCAAGCTGTAGTACTTTCTGACTCTCTTCAATAATACTTTCAATAATCTGATGAAAGGTTAAAAAGCATTTGAAAAAACACAGTGAAGCTATTTATAAGAACAAAATAACAGCTAATCATTTATATAGTACTTACTATGTGTCAGGCAATGTTCTTAACACTTTACGTATTTTAATCTTTACAACAACCTTGTAAGATAGCACTCTTACTATCATCATTATACAAATAAGGGAACTAAGGCACAGAGGGACCAAGTGGTTTGTCCAACGTCACAAAGCTAGTAAGTGATGAAGCTGGCATAAACGTAGGGAGTTTGGTTCCAGACACTGTACTCTTAACCATTATATAGGGAATCTGTGTTAGTACGTGTAATCACAAAAATTCAATCAACCCTGTAAAAGAAAGTTTAAACCTAAATTTACATTCAGATGCTTCATGTCATAGTTCATTTACATATTTATGCCAAGTTACTTGCCTGCTGGTTTGAGCCTAGTTAACAAAACTATGAGAATCAAAACCACCTTGTACAAGATTTCAAGTTGTTCAGCTCTGAACTCAAGCCTGACATGGAAAGCCAGCAAATGCAGGGAGATTAATGTTCTTAAACAGGCTACATCTAATCCCCTGTTCTGCAGAGAGATGGCAGGACCATGAAAAGAGTTCAAATACCCACCTCATCTTGCCTTTTTTCCCTTTTATTTCTTATCTACAGTTGAAAACTACAGGCAGGCTTTCTGCGTCTCCTACTAACATTTAGAAGAAAATATATTTTCTACCCAGTCCTGTCATTATTAACACAATAAATCTCCCAGCCCACTCACTTATCTTTCCACCACGGAGACATGGATGACTTCTGCTTTCTCAATTCTTTGGCTCCAGAAAGTTAACAGAATGTGTTATGGAACTATCTTGATGTGGTTTACTACAAATTCATGCCAAGTTGAACTGGATATTAAGCCGTTCAATAATATTCATCCCTGATTTCCCAGCATATTCTACATATTAATTTTTCTCAATCTTCAAATTTTTATCCTAGACCTACCTTACTTTTACCAGAGAAATATTAACTAGAGTCCACCTAATTTGTCAATTAGGTAGTTTCTGAGCTCTGAGTACTTTAGCAATAACAGAAGCCAGATTACAGTAAATTTACGAATGAATAAGAGGTGAAGACAGGAACAGCCAGCACACTCTATGTTCTCAAAAAGCTTGGCTATACATGGAAGAGGGTGCAAGAAAATGATCCAGCATTTTTATAAGCCGAGGGGAAAGAGCCAATGGAAAGGAAGATAACAAGTTCTGGAGAAGAAAAGAAAGAGGGTCTGCTGTGTATCAGACCCAGTATACACATTTGCCATTTAATCTTTACACAGGCCTTGTGAGGAAGCTAGATTATCTCCCTTCTACAAAAGCAGGAACCTGAGGTAAAGGCATTAAGTATTTCGCCCAAGGTCCCACAGCTAGTAAACTACAAAGTCAAAACTGAAATCTGGGTTTTTCTCCAAAAAATCCAGTGTTCTTTATATTATATCATTCTACTTTAGACAGGAAAAAAAAAGAATACTAAATTCTCAGGAATGGCATGAAAAAGAGGTAAAAAATGAAAACAAGTTTGCAGGTGAGGGAAGTGAGAGATGATGAAAAGGACTGAATTCAGGCTTCTTAGCCTCTAACACCTACATGCAGTGTGGGAAGCAAGGTTATCTGATGAAAGTAAGCAGATGCAGGTGGGCACAGTGAGCATGAGGTGAATGTAAAGGTTTCAAATAATCACTATGCAGAGTGAAAAGGCCTATGCCATCTGAGGGGTTAAAACAAGGTTGAAAATCTTAAACCTTCTCTAATCCCTTACCTGAAGACAATCTCTTCCTCTTCTGAACTCCTATCACTCTTACTGTTCATTATAATACGAACTAGAATATAAATACAGAGTAGTACACGAGCTAGCTCTATATAAATATTTTCTCCACACCTGGAAAACAAGGCCCGTGTTTTCTACCTCTTGATATGCCCCCATAGCACCTATTTACAGTACCTAGCCCTGTTTCCCCACCCCCGTTCTCTGCCGGGTTTCAGGAGGTAGCAAATGGGGAAAGAACAAGAGAACAGTGAGAATCAAGACTAACATAGAAATGATCATGCTAAAGCAACTGTTTCCTATCACCTCCCTGCTTCAAAAAAATCATTGCTTTCACAGCGACTGTAAAATAAAAACCAGATGTTTTAGTATGACAATGAGAGGCATTCCCATAATCTGGCCCTAACCCTGGTCTCTAGACTCATCGTCAAACATTCTGCACATTCCTCATCTCCACGCCTTTGGTTATGCCTTTCCTCTTCCATTTCTGACTGCCCAAATCTTTTTTTTTTTTTTTTTTTTTTTTTTTTGCGGTACGCGGGCCTCTCACTGTTGTGGCCTCTCCCGTTGCGGAGCACAGGCTCTGGACGCGTAAGCTCAGCGGCCAAGGCTCAGGGGCCCAGCCGCTCCGCGGCATGTGGGATCTTCCCGGACCGGGGCACGAACCCATGTCCCCTGCATCGGTAGGCGGACTCTCAACCACTGTGCCACCAGGGAAGCCCCCTGCCCAAATCTTATCCATTCATCAAGAACCAGTTCAGATGCTACTTCCTCCTTCCCCATTCCTATCCTCAAGGAGAAAGTAAAGCCTCCCTTTGTGTTCTTATAAAGTTTGCAAGTCTATTTGAACACTTATTACACTCAATTTTGTGTTTATCCAATTTTCTCTACTAAAATGTAAGTTACTGGGAACAGGGATTGTGTCCTGATCCAGGGTATAACTCCACAGCCTTTATCATTAATGTTGGATACTTAATTCACTTGAAAAGGCTAGAACTTAAAAAGTAATACCTAGAGTCTTAAGACTCACTCTATGGCTCCATAGTGTTTACTATTTTTTCAGCTTCTAAACTCTCCTTAAAAATCACATTTTTTTGGCTACTAACTATACTTACCCATTTGTATTTTATCCCAAGAAAAAAATTCTTAAAAAGGGAAAGAAAAGCTCTAGTGGAAAAACAGAAACTTTTCAAGTTTTCAACAATAAAAATGGCTAGATACATAATAATCCATTTGCTTGATGGAAGCTAATAGACTAAATGAAAACTGAGTATTAAAATCATGTAGTGGGCTTCCCTGGTGGCGCAGTGGTTGAGAGTCTGCCTGCCAATGCAGGGGACGCGGGTTTGTGCCTCGGTCCGGGAAGATCCCACATGCTGCGGAGTGGCTGGGCCCGTGAGCCATGGCTGCTGAGCCTGCGCGTCCGGAGCCTGTGCTCCACAACGGGAGACGCCACAACAGTGAGAGGCCCACGTACCGCAAAAAAGAAAAAAAAAATCATGTAGAAATATGATAAAAATCAAAAAATGTTAAGAGGAAAAGGTAGAATATAAAATTCTGTCAGAAACAAAACAACACCATCACCAACAAAATTCTATCTACACTACAAATAGGCCAAAAAAAAAAAGCAAATGAGTGAGAACCAGAAGGGAATGCCAAAAAATCAAGACAGCTGTTTGTTTGTGTAGAATTGTGGGAAATTTCTGATTAAAAAAAAAAAAGGGTACCACTCTTGTTATCTCATTCATGCTGATACACAAAACCATTTTTCCCAAAAAGGAAATTTTTCTTTTTAAAGGAAAAAGTATGATCAATATTAAAATATGTAGTCCATTAATTTCTAAATTCCATAAGGGTAGAACAATGAATCTACATTAGTGGTGATTTTGCCCGGTATCATTCCCCCAGACATTCAGTGATGTCTGGAGACATTTTTGGTTGTCAAGATGGGGTAGGGGTTGGTGGCGGTGGGGGGGGGTGGACGTTGACATCTAGTGAGTCAAAGCCAGGAATGCTGCTAAACATTCTACAATGTACAGAACAGTCTCTCCTTCCCCCCACAACAAAGAATTATTCACCCCAAAGGTGTTGCTGTTGAGAAACTCTGGGATAGAGGATGTGTCATAGCATTGGTCTCTGGAAAACCACTCGCTAAACAGTGCCTGGGGCACAGAAAACACTCAAAATTGGTATAAATTAACAGACACACACCATTCCTTCTCCTTGGGTTTTATCCTGATACTGTGAACAACCCATTGCCAAAATTTTTATCTTATGCTCAGTCTCTTCCAGTAAACCAAACCCTGAAGCTTCATATGATCAATTCCTTAAAAGTTATCAAAGGTACTAGAAGAGTAATGACTTCTTGTAACCTCTAACTCCTCAAACATTACCATTTGCTGCACTGAGTTTTTCAGTACCTTTACCTCTTGGTACTAACCTCAAGAGTAGCTATAGCTTACTCTAATAAAAATACAGGTATAAAAAATAAAAACACATTATAAAACATTTTTCAAAATACTGATTCAAGGATAAATTACCAATTAGTTCGATTACAAAATGCCTTCTAAAAAGCCTGATGTGCCTTCAATCACAAATTCAACAGATTCAGGAACATTTACTGAACATCCACCACGTACAGGGCACTATACTAAAAGAATATAAAAAATTTTCCGCTTTAAATATACCATAAAAATATGACATCTGCTAAACTAATATTGACATTTTATCTTACAAACCTTTTTAGACACATCTTGCTTCAATTCTTGTACAGGGGACTCATTTCCAACTTTGTATGCAGAGTTCTCTGCTTCCTATTTTAAAAAGAAAAGAAACAAAGACCAAATATCTTTTCTTTAAAACTTTGTTTAAAATGGGTATAAATTAGAAATTATAACATTAATAAATCAAAGGCCCATAAAGAGCTTAGATGTTTGTATACTGATAGATGCCCAGAGATTTTTATGCCAATTGGGACAATTTAATTTGCATAGGAAGGTTACCAATCAGCAATTTTCGATTTTTCTATTGTAATAGGATATTTTCCTTTACATGTACCCAACTTTTTAACATTAAAAAACTGTGCAGGAAGATAAGAACTACTAAGTACCTTTGCAGCTTAAAAAGATTAAGGACTTAAGCAAAGGGTTGAATTAGAATTGTTATTTTCCCCAAAGTATCCCTTCATAA